TTGCCTTTTCTTTACATTTCACATAAAGGAATCATACAGTAATATGTGGTTTCTTATTTCTGGCTTTCACTCAGCATCATGTTTTCAAGGTTCATCCATCTTTTAGCATGTGTCAATAGTTCACTAGACAATATTCCATTGTATGAGTAGACTACACTATTTATTTACCCGTTGATGGATATTTAAATTGTTTCCAGTTTTGGGTTACTAAGAATAATGCTGCTGCAAATATTTGCATGCACATCTTTGCGTGGGCATAAACTTTCATTTTTCTCGTGTAGATACCTGGGAGTGGAATTGTGGGGTTGTATGGTAATAATATGTTTATGTGTTTTAGAAATTGCCAAACGGTTTTCCAAAGTGGCTTCTGCATCTCATTTTAGCATTTTCTTTATTGTCAGAGGAAAAAGACAATGTTCCTGTCATTCATTCATTCACCTAAAACTCCTTTCTTTATTTCTCATGTATTGACTGCCTACATTGTCCCAAGTATTAATGATATAACAATAAATGACAAAATCATTTCCTTCAAAGTGCTCAGAGTCTTTTGGAGAAACAGAGAAATAGATAACTAAATACAGGAAGAGAAGTATAGAAGCAAAGCCGGCCTCTGGGCACAAAGGGGAGGAAACTTATTCTAGGCTTAGAGGAGCAGGGGAAAAGTTTTGGAGAAGGTCACACCTAAGTTGATTTGTGGAGCTATATCTAGGGGAGTGAAGTTGGAAGGGCATTATAAATCTCAGAGCAGAAGGGCAACCTGCCCTGCTTATAGTTAGAACCCCTTTACTCTGATCAACTTTATCTTTTTTTCCGTAGCAATTATTGCCTGCAATGGGCTATGTAACTTATGTTGGTAAATGTGTTTGTATGTTGAGCTATGGTCTATTTTCCCTCAGGGTAGAGATCTCTGTCTGTTGGTCCACTAATATACCCCAGATATCTGACATAGTGCATGACACAAAGAAGGTACATACTAAATATTTGTTGAATAAATGAATGTGTAACACTAACGGTTTTGATAAAAGTGTGTATTTAATGCTGTTTAATACAGCAACTGAAGACTAGATCCCACTGAGATGAACAAAATCAAAGTTGCTGGGGAAAGTGGATGGATTCATATGTGAGGAAGAGTAACTTTGAGATTGTTGAACATCATACCAGAAATGGAATAGCATTTTCTCACTTTGGAATTTAAGATAGACTTGGTAAGACAAACCAAAGCATGCTTTGATACCTCTGGCAAGAGAACAAGATTTTATTTTTTTAAGATTTATTTATTTATTTGAGAGAGAGAAAGGAGAGAGACAAGCACAAGATCGAGAGGGGGAGGGGCAGAGGGAGAGGGAGAGGAAGAGAATCCCAAGCAGACTCCTAGCTGAGTGTGGAGCCCGACGTGAGGTTTGCTTTCATAACCCTTAAATCATGACCCGAGCTGAAATCAAGAGTTGGACACTTACCTGATTGAGTCACCCAGGCTCCCCAAGAGTACAAGACTTTTTTACATTAGGATACAGAGGGAAAATTGCAGGTACTGATGCAGAACTTTCAAGTAACTTTTCAGAAAGTTAGGAACAATTGAGGAGGAAGGATGCATTTGAGAAAAGTTATTTTGGTTAATATAACAAGGAACAAGGGATGTGAGCAGGTAGGAGGAGAAGAAGGAGGAGGAAGAGGAGAAAACTGTCATTCCTTTAGGATTTTCCCAATGTGATTGTCATTTTTTAAGGCATTTTTGCAAGTCAAATAGGCAAAGGCAATTTTTGACACAGTTATCTGTGAATCTGAATGCAGCTTCAGTGTCTTCAGTACAATAAAAAAAATGCCTTTGCTAACGAAGGAAGGGTTTACGGAGGGAAAACTAAGGCATCTTTTACTCAAATTCATTTTGGTTCTTAGTTGAAGGACTCTCAGCCGTTTCAGTGGTGCAGAAAAAAAATTCCGCCAAATGAAGATTTATGTGATTTATATTTCAGTTTTTGTTGATTGACTTTATATTGTTATCATCTCAGATGGGCTCTTTGCTCTGAAAATAAATTGTCTGCGGAATAATAATGCCATAAGTTTGGCGTCAATTCTAATTCAGCTCAAATGGAAGTATAGTTTTTTCTTTGTTTGAATTTTTGGTTTATTTTTGGTTGACTGAGGCGCCAGGGGGATTAGAGGAAATGAAATTGTGTGATGAAGCAGGCCTTGGTCATGAAGGGCCTTCCTGCTCTGCTAAGGCACTCAGACTTGGCCCAAGGGCCCTTGGGAACTGTGCAGGATTTTAATGAGAGAAGTGACATGAAGTGTGTTCAAGGAGTCACGATTTGCTGTGACTGTGATTTGGGCACCAAATTGGAAGAAAGGACAAAATTAGAGGAAGGTTGAGAATAGTTTGCCAGCCTTCACAGTAAGTGAGGTGAGAATCAGTAGTGAGCTGAAGGAGGTGCTAGGTGGTGCATGGAAGGAATCCTAGGACCGAGGCAGTGGTGATCGATCTCTGTGATGACTTATATGCATGCTGAGAAGGGGATGGAAGAGTCAGAGATGTCTGCCACATATCCTTTCCTGACAACAGGATTGAAAGTGGTATCATTCGATGAAATAAAGGACACAGGAGAAAGAGGAGCAGGCATTTTGTGGAACAAGATAGTAAGTTTGGTGCTGATTTGTCACTCTTTGGGCGTGTCTTAGTTTGTACAGCTATGACAAAATATCTCCAACTGGTAGCTTAAACAACAGTCATTGATTCCTCATGGTTCTGGAGACTGGGAAGTGTAAGATCAAGGTGCTGACAAACTCTGTCTGCTGAGGGCTTTCTTTCTGGATTGCAGATGGCTGCTTTTTTGCTGTAACCTTACTTGGAGGCGAGAGAAAGGTGGGGGGCTCTGGTCTTTTCCACTTTTTATAAGGGCACTGATCTGATCATGTGGGATTCATCCTTAGGACTTCATTTAAAAACTAATTACTTCCCAAAGGTGCCACCTCCAAATACCATCACAATGGGGCTTAGGGCTTCAGAATAGGAATTTGGGGTTCACGGAAACAAATATCAATCTGTAACAGGGAACCTATGGAACATTCATATGAACAGATACGCTAGGCAGTTGGATCTCTGGGACAGGTGCTCAGGATTAAATCCCAGTTTGAGGTATAGATTTTGAATACGTGTGTACCGTGGTGATACATGCAACCATGGTAGTGCATATGGTCCCCTACAGAGAGTATTGGAATGAGAAGAGATTAGGTTTGTGTTTGGTAATCTGGGGAACACTGACATTTAAGAAACAGGCAAGAGAAGAGGACTTCGTGAAAACAAGCAAGGAATAGTTGGAGGAGAAAGGGAGCAGCAGGAGTATGTCAAAAAAGCAAGAAATGAGGTATTTCTAGAGGGAGGCCTTGAGCTTTAGTATCAGTAACTAGAGTTCAGTTGAGTGAGGACCAAAAAAGGTAGATGGGACTTAGCAACGTGAAACTCATTGGGGTTCATGTAGCTACAGCTTCTGTGGAACAGTGGGCATAGAAATGAATGAGGGGAGGAAATAGAAGCAAATGGTGAGTATAAGTTGTTTTCTTTCTAACACAATTATGTAAATTTATACCAAAAATACTTTAGCCTAACATAGGTTATGTTTTTTTAATTGAGGCAAAATTCGCACAAGATTATCCACCTTTTTTTTCTTTTCTTTTCTTTTTTTTTTTTTAAGAAGGAGTGGAAGGAGGGGCGGAGGGAGAGGGAGAGAGAGAATCTTAAGCAGGGGCGTGCTGGGCGTGGAGCCTGACGCGGGGCTTGATCTCACAACCCTGAGATCATGACCTGAGCCAAAATCAAGAGTTGGATGCTCAACTGACTGAGCCACCGGGCACCCCAAGATTATTCATTTTAAAGTGAGCAATCTAGTGGCATTTGGTACACTCACAATGTCGTACAGCCACCACCTCTGTCTAGTTCCAAACATTTTCAACCCACCAAAAGGAAAACCCATACCCATTAAACAGTTTCTCCCTAGTCCCCACTTTCTCCAACCCCTGGCAGCTACTCATCTGTGTTTTGTCTCTGTGGATTTATCTATTCTGGATAGTTCACATAAATGGAGTCGTATAATGTGTGATGTTTTGTGTCTGGCTTCTTTCACTTTGCTTAATGCTATTGAGGTTTATCCACACTGTAGCATGTATCAGCACTTCATTTGGTTTTATGGCTGAATATTCCATTGTATGGATGTGCTACAATTTGTTTATCTATTCCACTGTTGATGAGACTGTTTCTACCTTTTGGCTATTGTGAGTAATATTTCTGTGGACATGCACAGTCATATATTTATTTGAGTACCTGCTTTTGCTTCTTCTGGGTATATATCTAGGAGTAGACTTGCCAGAGCCTAACAGTTTTTCAAAACTATACTTTTATAAATGCTGATAAGAGTCCACAGGAAGCATTGTGCATTGTAGAAAAAGTTGATTTATACCATCTATGTTCTTTTAAGTACTTCACATTCTTTTTGAGATAGATTGGTGAAATGATGAGTAAACAGTTCATCAAGAAATAGATGAGTTGAATGAAAAAAAAACATATATACATCACTTTTAAAGAAGGAAGTTCCCTTTAGAATTGAGTTTTGAGCCTTATAAGAAAAAAGTATCTCAAATGCAGAGTGTGGATAGATTAACTCATATAGGAGAAGGAAGATGGGACAGGCATAGGTTTGAATGTTTCATTTTAATTTTTCTGAAGGAACTAGGCGTTGCGCTCTGGTTGGGGATAAGGGAAAGAGTTGGCCATCCCTAAGCTGTGTCACGTTACTTCTCATGGAAAGATTCTGGATGACTTACCAGGAGAATATTAATGTCTCTCATAAAATATGTATCTAGTTAAGTCAAATGCTGATTCAGGGAGGTATCTTTTGATTCTCTTTCATTTCATTGTATGATCTCTGTTCAATGTATATATGATCTCTATAAACTTACTGCTAAGTTGACTCATTTATTCTCATATCTATTGTATGTATTTTTCTCAGGCAGAGAAGGCTGATGGATTTGTCAACCTGCCCGATTTCACTGTGGAGAGAGCATCTGAATGCAAGAAAAAGCAGTAAGTTGTTTTCCACAAAACCCTGAGCCAGAATAACATTCCTTCATAATTTTAGTTTCTCGAGTGATATGGTAACTTGGAAGTTAGTGAAGGTAACACCCAAATGTCTGAGAATTTTGAACTTTATGGGTTGGCATCCTAAACAACAGCGTAAGCTTTTAACCTCTTGTTTTCTGGAATTTCATTTTGTGGAACAGATGGATTTTAAAACCCCATGGAGCCTTGGCATGGCATATTTTTGACAACCGTGTCTGAGATGGAATGAAAAACAAGCTCCCATCCACGAGTGGCTAGGAGATTAGATGTCAAGATATTTTCTTGGTGAAGAGAATGACTAGTTCAATAGGACTCCCCAGAGCTGCAGATAGGATAGCAAAACCAGTTTCTTTTTCTTAGTTTATAACATTATTATCCTTGAAATAGAATTCTCTGAGAAATCTTGGACTTTGGGATTATACCCTGATATAATTTAAGTCCAGAAGATTTGAGAACAGACAGGAACCAAAAAAAGTCATCAGCGTATGGTCCCCATTTTACTGAGAAGGGAGGAGCCCAGAGAGTCTGAGCTTGCCTAGAACTTGCAGGAGAGCCTCGCTACATCATCCAGCCGTGTTCCCTTTCTCCTGCTCTTGCCATGATAGCATCCAGCCACATTTGGCAAATGTGCCCTCTTCACCTTTTTCTTGTTGTTGTTCTTCTACCTCTGACATCTTTTTCCATTTTATCAGAAAGACATTTATTTCCCTACTGACCTATGTTACCAATAGTGGCAGTTGACTAGATTTTTCTAAGAAAATGAATAAATGGTATTGGTTTTAAGTCTCTGCCGCTCTAGTGTTGCTGCACGTATCCAGTGATACGTAAGCTTGTGTTGATTTTCGTGGTTTTGACCAAACTGGTTATTTACCAAAATGCTGGCCGGTACTGCAGGACTTCCGGTCTAATGATAAAGGGGAAACATTTCAGTGTTTGCTAATTTTCAGTGTTTTCTACTTTTCTTTTAAACTGACAATAAATATATTTTTCCTCTACTCATAGGGGGAGGCTTGGATATAATTTTTGATGTGTTGTCACACTGTGGAAGTTCTATACTTGATTATTTTCCTACACATAACACTCTTGTATGTATTTGAATTTGAATAAATATTTTTCTTTATTGTTCTGAGCATGTAAGGGACACCTCTAAGACCATAAACTTTAATTTATTGTCTCTTTCTAGCAAAGCAGTGAGCAAATGAAAATACAAGAATATGCCCATATGTTTTAAATAGAAACTATCGACTAGCCAAGACTCAGTGCTTTTCTGGATGTCTCAACATGATAAATTAATTCTCTGCTCTCTCCATGAAGTCGAGATTAGGCAATGGGTATTTAATGTAACTAAATTATTTTTTGTAGATTTACAAAGAAAGCAGATGAATTTACCACACTTATATTTGATTTACTTTCAAACCCACTGACAACACTAATTTCTAATTTTTAATGTGTCTGTGTTTTTCCCCCTTCAAGTGCTTTTAAGATCAGCCATCCACAGATCAAGATCTTTTATTTTGCAGCTGAGAATGCACAGGAAATGAGTGTGTAAGTAGAGAAAATTGCTAAATCTAATCTTTTTGGGAATAGATTACTTTGGTCAGGTGTTTGAATTTTAAGCATATGTTCATATCAATTCTTGTTAAAGCATTCTTGCTTTCTTCTTCACTATTTGGAAGCATTTTGGAGAATTACATATATCAAAATGGCTATTTTAGGAAGAAGTAATAAGATTCTTCTGAGGGAACCACTAAGTTGAGAAAGGAAAGGATAGAAGTCATTATAAGAAAATGTTACAGCGAGAATCAGCATCACAGGGAGAAAGGCCTGAAAGTACTATGACCATTCTCACAGCTTTTAGAATTCTACATGAAAAATATCTATAGGATTTCTTATGTGCTGTGTAATTATCATGATGATCCCTGTGTTTATCATTAATCCATGTTCTATCCTGAAAATTTTGCAAAACGTCCTTCCTCAGAGTACATCTCACATAAAATTTTATATCCCTAACTCCATTTCCTGTTCTTTTTTCCTGTTTAAATAAGTGGAATAAATGCATAGAACACTACCTGTCCCACTCCATACCCTGCTGGTTTAGATTATAGTGTGATCACAATGGCTCTTAATTGAATGAGGCTATATATATATTTGAGGCGCTTGAGGCATCAGAGGGCCTTCTATTTAACTTAAGCCCTATTCCCAGATTTCTCAGTGCTCCTCATTACCTTCACATAACTAATAAAAATGTGTCAGTGGAATGCCTACTAGGTGCCCCACTGTGGCAGACCTGGGCAAAAGAAATAAAAGACTTATTTACCTAAATGAAGAGAGGAGTTGTTTCTACTACCCTCTTTCTGATTTTACCTTTATCCCCTTGGCTTTCTCAAGCGCCTGAGAAAAAGAAGAGCAGATGCCCCCAAAGAAGATAAAAGCCTTCACAAAACTCTTTTATTTCTCTTTTTATTTGTGTTGGTAACTAAATCCTATTGATTAGCAAGCCGTTGGTATGTCGGTGGTGTGTGAAAGGCTTAATGTTTTACCCAGCAGTACTTGGAGCCCCTCCATAGTGAGGGTCAGGCTGGAGCTGAGCCGCCGATTAATCTGGTGGTGTTAATAAACACCAAAGTGGAATCTCTTTGGGCATCCAAGTTAACTTCTCTCTTCTCCCACAAGATGATGCAGATGACATTTAAAGATTTGTTCTGAGTGGCACCTGAAGATCTCGCTTTTCTTACTGAGGTGGCCAATTTAAGCCAGTAAATAATGTGTCTGGGTATTTCTTTATGAGATGCAGAGAATCTGGGAAGGAGGGACTGGCGTGTGGAGAGATGCGTCCTGTTTTAGAAGTTCACTTCCTTGGGAAACTGCATTTTTGGATAGTGACATTTCTCTCAGGGACCATGAAGGGAAAGGTAATTACGTTTAATAGAAACGCTGTGTGTTCTGCAGGGACCCTCAATTTACAAGTAGAGGGGTAAGTAATTAAGGGTAATGGAAGAGTTGCTTTCTAAACAAAGACTGGTTGGTAGCTGCCTTTCTCGGACAGTGTTTGTGGGAAGAACCTTCTTGTTTTGTATATCAATTTCTTAACACTTGTGCTCCTCCAACACATCAAGTTAATATACAACAAACTCCCGAGAAACATCTGTCATCTTCTTTTATGTAAATATAAGTCTTTTTGTGCATCCATCTATTTAGCCACAAATAGAAATTTTTCTACTGCCTTAATGTTTTTTTTTTAAAAGTTCTTAGCAAAAGAGGTACTCTAAGCTAGTGGATTCCAGGAAGGAAATAGTCAAACAAGATTCTAAACAATCACGTTTTCAACAAGTAACTAATGGTGGCAATTAAAAGGATATGAGTTTTAGGTAAGAGCTGGGAGGAATGACTTCTTTATTGTCAATACTCTTTCGTTTTGCTATATTTCTGTATTTCCGTGTTCTGGACAGGAACTTAGAGATGACTTTTCTTGTTTCAAGCATTCTCAGTTCAAAAATAGTTTTTATCTTGATATGTTAAAAAATTTGTCTATTTCACTTTTAGATGTTTTTTTGGGTGGGAGGGTCAGTATACAGTTAGGAAATCAGGTATAAACTAAGAACAGTTTATTTTGGTATTTTAAAAGTGAACCGTTAAATTCACTGTGCTTTGATCAGTTTTTAAAACTGTACATTAAAATGTTTCTTTTAGTTTAATGACACACAAAACATACTCTTGTAAAAAATCCTGTAATACAGAAGTAGGTAAAAGTGAAAACCTTTCCATCCCCCCAACTTTACCCTCCAATTCAACTTCTCTCTTTAGGATTAACTACTTTTTTTTAAAGATTTTGTTTATTTATTTGAGAAAGAGAGAGAGAGAGAGAACACAAGCAGGGGAAGGGGCAGAGGGAGAGGGTGGAGCAGACGCCCCCACTGGGCAGGGAGCCAGACATGGGGCTCGATCCCAGGACCTCGGGATCATGACCTGAGCAGAAGGCAGACATTTAACTGACTGAGCCACCCAGGCGTCCAAAGATTAACTACTTTTAACAGTATAACTGACATACATCCTTTTTGATGGTTTTCATTGCATATCGATTCATGCACGTATACAAATACATAGTTTTAAAAGTACATTGAATCAGGCCAATCATATTGTTCCATACTTGCTTTTTTCACTTAACAGTATGTTAGGATTTTCCCAGGCCATCGGAAGGCTTCCTATCCCAGTCTTATTATTAGCTTCATAATAACATTGATTGTACTGATGAAATTAGTGGTATCCTTTATCCATTTTCCTGTTAATGGATGATTATATCGTATCAGTGTTTTTTTCTTTTTGCCATTGCAAATCTTACTGAATTAACATTCTTCCACATTTATTTGTGGTTTGTAGAATAGACATTTATAATTGGGGGTGGATATTTAAATTTAGACTAGTATCATCAAATTGCCTGTTTAAAATTGGCTGTATCAATTTTGATGTTCAGCTGAGCAAAGGATGAGAATGTTTCCCCCTAAATTCTAGAAATCAGTGGTATTTTAGGTTTTGCCAATCTAGTGGTGAATATTTTCCTGTGTTTGTATATGCATTTCCCAAAACACTATGGAGGCTGATAAATTTTTTCTATTTTTTTATAAGCCATTTATATATATATTTTTGTGATTTCCTGTTTGTTTGTTTTTGGGTTGTTTATTATCCTATCGGGGCTTGATGAACACTTTCTTGTTCCTATGGTGGGATCTGGGCCCATGTATTGGTCTGGTTTTAAGTGGCTATTAAGGAGCTCATATTTGTCATGATGCTAAAGGGGCTTCTTAAAATGCCTTTTAAAAAAAAGATTTTATTTATTATTTATTTATGATGCAATTGTCATAATTCTATAGTTGGTCTAAACATTTCCAGAAACAGCATAAGTCTGTGGTGTTGAAACCTAAAACCACTTATTTATTCATTTAGAGAGAGTGTGCAAGTGGGGGGAGGCACAGAGGGCCGGGAGGGGGGGAGAGAGAGAGAGAGTGGAGCAGACTCCCTGCTGAGCATGGAGCCCCTGAGATCATGACCTGAGCTGAAATTAAAAGTTGGACGCTCAACGGACTGAGCCACACAGGCACCCCTGAGGGGATTCTTAAATGAGGCTGAAGCTCCTCTTTCTTCTTGTAGAAAGCCCTATTTGTTTTTAAAAATGAAATTTATATATTTCCTGTTAATAAAAAATAAATATGGCAAGACCCTGGCAGGTTGAGGGTTGGGTAAGGATTCCTAATTTGTTGATAGTTGAAGACTTGGGAATATGCGATAATTATGTGGTAGGGGAGCAGTGTGCTGGATAGTTCATGAGGCAATACAGGACTAGAAGAAATGGAGAGCATAAGTGAGTTAATAAGTGCATAGCATTCTTATTTTATTGGTATTGGTTGACTTAGGCCACTACTGAATGTACTGGTTTCTCAAAAAAAAAAAAAGTGAACATATAATATGGAATACTTTTTAAAGATACAGAAAATTGGAAAGAAGTGGGAAATAAATCAGATTATTACCACCCCAAAATAATATTTTCCCTTTAAATAAAAGGTAATATAGCTAGGAACATATGAAATAGGTGCATTTTTGTGTCTTTTATGAATTTGTGTGATGAAATATGTTCCTGACTAACCCCTTGAGAAGAAACTCCAGTGGCCTTAGGTCATGAGCCAGGTTTGAGTTCCTTAATAAGGTGTGTCTAGTTGTATTTTTATCATTGATGTTTAGTTGAAAATCATTGCCAATAAGATAGTAAATTGATAAGAAGATAGGACACTGTCATTTTTTACCTGACATAAAATTCTTCAAGGAATTAAACATTTCCCCAGCTTAGGAATACCTGTCAAACTCTGAGATCTTCTATTGATTAATATAAAAATCCTGTCTTAAAAATGGATCATCTTCTCTTTATTGTTTTTGTGAAATAAAATTACATTTTAAGAATTATAGAGATGGGACGTTAATGGTCAGGTTACTAAATTCAATGATAGAGGTTTGATTGCTAATAATTTGCTAAAAATTGCTAAAAATTTGAAATGCACAACTACAAAAATATATTTGTTCATATATTTAGAATATTTAACATAATTGCCAACCTTAGCAAGCTAGATAATGGACCACCTTGTTTCTTGTCTTACAAAGAATATCCCAAGGAAGGAAAGTATTGTGAAACAAGTGGTTTTAGGTTTTAATACCGCAAACTCACGCTGTTTCTGGAAAAGTTTAGACAAACTATAGAATTATGACAATTGCATTATAAAGTCTGGCACAAGACCTTACTTCAGGGTCTAGGGGGAGGGTGGATAGGAGATGACCAATCTCTTTAGCTAAACATTTATTTTCTATTTGAATTTTAGGTGGTTAAACAAGCTTGGGATAGCTGTAATCCATCATGATTCTGCTACGAAGGATGAAGGTATGTTCTATTTTAAATTTCTGAAAATTTAGCAAGAGTATTAGGATGAGATAGGTTGGAAATACAATGTCAAGTTCTATGCATAGTCTCGTCTAATGAAACATACTTTGGCATTTAAAATTATCTGAAAATATGTAGAAGCAGACATATTCACACAGACTCACCAACATGTAATAGAGCTTCCCATGCTGGCTAAGAAAGCTTTTTACACTTCACCCACACACTAGCAACTGTAGGCTTCACTGAGCTCTCAAACCACTGCCAGTGTAAATGTTTTATTGTCCCACTCACTGAATTCTTACTCAGAGACATGATCTCGTCATGATCTAGACAGATAACTTTCATCCCACTGTTTCCTCTCTGATATTTTAATATTTCCACCAGGTGTATGCTGAGGCTAATTACTCTCAGTTTGTGCTCGGAAACTGAATGTCAAATTGGGACAGAGGCCGTATTTTTAGCTCAGCCTGTAGTTCTCTGGGTTCAAAGCTACAGGAGTCAAAATCTTCTTAAAGATGCAATTACTCCTGAATATTGAGAAGAAGAAGGCTTTAGGTTCGGGGTCACAGAGTTGATACTATTTCTGAAGTACTCAGGCCATATAAAACTTGGGAACTGGAAGGTAGGGAGTTACATCTTTTGATAGCAAAAATTCTAAAAGCTGAGACTGAGAAATGGAAAAGTGAAATCAGTGTCCTGACCATCTCCTTGGTCCTCTTTGCTGCAACATCAATACCCATTGTGTATCTGAAGTGCATTTATAGATTGTGAGGAAAAAAAATCACTATATAAAAATCTTCTCCCTATCCTGGTATTTAAGGCCTTCCGTGATATGGCCTTAAGCAACTTTCAGCTTCATTTTTTTTTTTTTTTTTTTTTTTACCACATCCCTTAGGGGACTCCGTATAGTTGCCTCCGCCTGCACCCTCGACTTGGTCCTCTCATTACTCTGTGCGCGCTGTTGATGGTTTACTTACCCTGCCATTTCCAGCTCCTCATGGCTCCTATGATCAAAGTTAATCACTACTGATTTTATGATCCCTTAGTATATGATTCACACCTCTTCTGAGGAATTATTTTATTTTCCCTGAGCTATGGTTAGTCCTCTTCCTATGTGTTAGACACTCATGAGGGCAGAAACCCTAATATGGCTATTCATTTTTTTCCCACTCTTATGTAATGGTAGCTCAGTAGATGAGTCCTTTCTGAATCGGATTGGAATTGCAATAGCCAGACAGAGCAAAACCTCTGCTCATGCATTATGGAATGAGTGATGACAGTGTTGAAACATTAAGCATTTTCATTTTTGTATAGAATGCTACAGTGAGAGTGAACAGGAGGACCCCGAAATAGCTGTGGAGACACCACCCCCTCCTTACTCTACAGAGACTTTCTCTCCTTTGGTACGTACTGACCTCAGTAGTCTATTGGTCATGATCAAGTGCGGGGACATCGTTCCTTCCAGTGGCATAGAATCTACTTTGGCCAATAAATTTTTTAGAACGGGCTAAATTAAGGTACTTGCCAAGGAGCAAGTGCAGTTCTCAGATTTTGAGTCTTCTCCATAGCAACCCCGTGGTATGACAAACTTGGTGTATTTGTATGTGACCCACAGATGTATCGTGCTGACAAGACTTACGGTAATGCAGAGGGCTTCTAGGTGATAGGCCAGGGCTTGCAGAGATTTGTTTTATAATGTTTATTTATACCCTACTGGTCTTCAGAAAGAATTGAAAGTGCTTGTCCTGGGCGCAGGCATTATAACAATGCAGAATGAACACTAAGGGGATGAAAGCAGTAGATGAAGAGAAAATTAGAGTCCAAAAGGTATCAGGAAGCCAGGAGTGGGGTTAGTGCATTCAATCTGTACGTGGAATAATTCTTCTGTATATTCACTAGAGAGAAGTCCAAGTTTAATTCTCAGCTTTGGAAGCATACAGCGTAAGTTCAGGTTATTAATGGATGTTAAGACTGTGGCATGTTGCTTTGTATTTAGATGCTCGTTGGTGTCATAGTGATGTCCCCTAGAAGGATTCAAGCAAGGGTCTTCGGGAAAGCTCATTTATGGTTCTTCTACCTACCATGTGCCAGGACTTATGTAGGTGCTTTAAATATATAACCATTTACTGCCCCTGCCCCCAAATAACCCTGAAACCTAGTATTATTTAACCTGCATTTCAATGATTACTAATGAGCATCTCTTCGTATTTATTGGCCATTTGGATTTTGTTTTGTCTAGTGTCTGTTAAGTCGTTAGCGCATTTTTAGCTGTCTTACTATTATTATTTTGTATTTATAAAGTTTCTTTATTAGCCTGTCCGTTAGCTCTTTGTCTGGTAAAAGTGAGGCACATCTCCTTTTCTGTTTCGTGGCTTTTACTTTTTTAGACGATTTCGTGATTTCTTTTTGTAGACAGTTGTTCTTGATTTCAGTGTGGCAGATTCATCCATTACTTCTGTTGTGGTTAGTGTCTTTGTTTCTGATTTCAAAATTTGTTTCCTATAGCTAGGTCATGGGAGGGTAGATATGGCTGTCCTCATTTCATGATTTAGGAAACTGAAGTTCAGAGGTAGAATGGGCTGGCTACACATGCAGTGAACGGGGCACCTCGGAAGGGAACCTGGTGTGTCTCGTTCTATTGTACGTGTTCTTCCCACCCCCACTACAGTACTTGTCCATCCACAGACCTAAGTGATGAGAGGTTCTGATAGGTTACAGCAGCTCCTTCACCTTTTGAACCTCCTCTGCCAGAATTTTCTATTTGTGTGATGAAGTCTGCACCTTTATTTCTGTTTTGCCAGTTTCTGGATTTAGGGTATTAAATAGCATTTAAGTGATGACCTCTACGATTGTCACTTGTCAGTGGAGAATTGTGGTCCCTTTTCTCGTTTACTTAGCTAGCAGCTAAGACCAGATATAAGTATCTGTTGACTGAGTGTTTTTATCAAAATCTCTATGCAGTAGGACTAGTCTATTAAATTAAGCAACGTATAAATAAAATTAAACTTTGAATATAGTAAAATTTAGACTGGTTTTTGAACTAGACTTACAATATATCCTATCTGAATATATTCATAACTTGCCCTTAATGTAGTCTTTCTTCTCTTTTAAAAATCGGTTTCTGAATTTAGAAAAGACTAAATAGACATGCATAGGTTTTTTTTTTGTAAAAATTTTATTTATTTATTTGAGAGAGAGAGAGAGGGAGAATTAGAGATAGAAAGCACGAGAGGGAAGAGGGTCAGAGGGAGAAGCAGACTCCCCGCCGAGTAGGGAGCCCGATGCGGGACTCGATCCCGGGACTCCAGGATCATGACCTGAGCCGAAGGCAGTCGCTTGAGCCAACTGAGCCACCGAGGCGCCCCATCAGTTTAATAGAGAAGCATATATTTTTGTTTAGTTTCTCTGTTTCTGTCTCTCTTTGACTCTGTCTCTCTTCCCTCTCTCTCTTTCTGTTTCTGTCTCTGTCTCCATCTCTGTCTATCCCTGTCTTTTCTTCTTTTCTGTTTCTCCTATTTTAACCTGTGACACACAATGATTTGGTCAGTTCTCCATCCTTCTCTTCCTGAAATTTTCTCTCCCTCCTACTGTTCCTCTCCCTCATGACTCTTAGATGATTTATTTTAGTTCTAACATACTGTGATTTTTAGTTTTCTAGGGGCAACTAGTATCACAGATTACTAAGAGCATCATCAGGTATCTAGAACTCTACTTGAAAGTAACAGCAACCAAATTGTCTTTTTAGATGAGGGATCATGGCTCAATTGCATGATACCATGCCAGTGTTTCCTGATGTTACAGTAGAAGCTCATGGAATGCTTGTTTCAAAACAAACCAACAAAGGGATGCATATGAGACCAGTAAGTTAGGTCATTGAAGTAGGAGGATTCTTTAAAAATTTCTCAGTCATTAATCAAATGTTATTTTTTTAAAGTTCTAAGTTGAGCGTTTTTCTGGAAGGCCACTAAGGCTAACTTTCTTTTTTTTCCTGAAGAAATATATTGGAAATACATACATGTTGAACAGTTAGATTTTATTTGCCTTAGAAACAGAATATGTTCCTCCAGCTCACATATTTTCCAGGCAGATTTTGTTTTTGTTTCCTCTTGTTTCTTAAAAACAGACATGCAAGACACTTGGTTAAAATAACATTTAAGCTTTTTATTGAAACAGATGATAATTGAAGAACTCATGGTAACTTTTATCCAGAGAATGAATCAACTTATTGTTTTGGCTCAATCTGGCATAGGCTAGCTATGATTGAGCTATATAAGCCTAGGTGAAAATTTTTTTTCTCTTAAGTTCTTGCTTTAAAAAAATATTTTGGGGGGCGCTTCTCCCTCTCCATCTGCTCCTGCTTGTGTTCCCTCTCTCACTGTGTCTCTCTCTGTCAAATAAATAAATAAAATCTTTAAAAAAAATTTTTGGTAATGAACCTTCATTTTGGAATGATGACTCGAAAATACAAAATAATGCTATTCTAGAAAATTATGTCCCGAAAATTAGAATCTGGAATTAAAAAGGTAATTCAATGTCCAGTCATTCTAATGGCTGCAAACTGTAAGAGTTCAGCAGCAGACCAGTTTGGACCTCTGCTTCTAGAGGGTGGCACCACCTTCCACGAGAGAATAAAGAACACTTCAGGGTCTTCTCTGAAGGAACAAGAGGTTTCTGTTTATGTTGCTTCTTCTTGAGAAGACTTCATAGGTTGGAGAGTGGAAAGGACATCCATTGATTCACAGAGAAATTAGAAATGGGGGGCCTTTTGACAGGCTTAACTAAAAAGGCTTAAAAGAGATGGGACCGTGTAGATTTCACTTGGGAAGTTTCTCTGTAGAAATCAGTATCTATGATTCCTTGAAATCCATGATTCCATGAAACCCACAAAAGAACAAAAAAGGACCTGACTTCATTCACATTTCAACTCAGTAATAAGTTACAAAGTGATTTAGGAGCTTAACCATCATTAAAAATTGGTTACACATGTTTGTTCTCTAAGTTTAATTATGAACAAGCATTGTCTGGTACCTGGATCTATGTTTATATGCTTGTTCATTCATTTAAGAAATTTTGTTGAGAGCCACTGTTCTAAATATTTGGGACACATGAGTAAATAAAGACAATTTATTTCTTCATGGAGTCAGTTTTAGTTGAGAGAGACTATAATATAGTCTCTATAATATAATAAATAATCAACATACTAAGTAAATTATCTGCTATGTAGTAGAAATAGAGTACGGTGAATGTGGGGAGATAGGGGTGCTGGAGGTGGGGTTGTGGCTGTGAACAGAGTAGCCAGGAGAGGCCTGAGTGAGAGGTCTGAGCAAAACTCTTGAACGGTGGTGTGAGAGACAATCAGGTGGATGTTTGGGAAGGAGTTTTCTAAGCAAAGGGAACAGTTAGAGACAAGATCTCTTTGGTGCACAGGTAGCAGTGCAAGGAGGTCAGTGTGGCTGAAGCAGGATGAGTTAAGATGAGAATAGCAGGAAATGAGCTTGGAGGGTAGTGGTTGACCATACCATGTAGAGCCCCAGGGCCGCGCAAGGACTTTGATATTTTGAGTTACTTAGGGAGCCTTTGGGAGTTTTGAGCAGAGGAGTGATGTGATCAGTTTCCCTCTTAAAAGGACCGCTCAGGATACTGTGTGGGAGAGACCCTCGGAGGTGGGAGGAGGGTAGGGTAGAAGCAAAGAAATCAAAGGGAGGGTTGCAGTAATCTAGTGTGGGAGATGGTGGTGATGCAGGTCAGAACATAATTGAAAAATGGAATGGGCAGATTTTTGAACTTGGTTGGAAGGTAGACCACCCAGTGAGTGGATCAGATAGGAGAAAAACTGAGAAGATAAGTACTTACAAACTGCAGCTTCAGACAGCTCCTGTAGATTATTTTAACATGGTCGTCCTCATATTTTGATGCTTTTTAAAAATACAATTCCTTTTATAGCTAAATGATGAAAAATATCATCTAAAGCCAACCAAAGGAACCGTAAATAAAAATGAACACTGTAGACCATGGCCCCTTGGCCAGTGGCAGAGGAGGAAGTCAAAAATGAAATACAGAAAGGGGTAAAATCAGTTTTAGAAATTCAAATTAATTTTGGTAGGACGAATCTCACACAGCTGTTTACTAAAGTCACTTGATCTTTCGATACGTGTACCATATAACAGAAATGCTCACAAGTGAGATAATTGTATGAAAAATTATCAGTCACTACAAATACAAGCTAGGTAAAGGTAGAAAGAAAATTCATCCCGGCAGGAATTGTCGCAAGCTCTATGCTTGAACATTTAACTGATTTCAAGACTTCCTCTTCTTCTTTTTTTTTAAGATTTATTTTTTTGAGAGAGAGAGAGAGAGGGAGGGAGAATGAGTTCCCTAGTGGGGGGAGGAGCAGAGGGAGAGG